ATGACAGCACCCTGGAATCACACAAGCCTACCATACTTTGAGGTCCATGCAGACGATGAAAACCGATATAACAGACCCACCATCTCCTACCTCAAGGCGGTTCACGTACATGTGTTCATGACGAAGATCTCAATTCTCAAAGGTGGCACTGTGCAGGTATGAAAGTGTTGGAAAAACAAAATAGTAATTCACCGAAGTGTTGAGTCAATAGTTAAGAGAGTGTCGTTTAAATTTACTGCATCCCTTAACAAAACTGAGGCAATTGCTTAATTCAGGGTCTCCTAGGTTGTCAATACCCCCTCCAGAAGTTGTTGGAGAGCTTGATCAAGGAAGTTCTTGCTATGTTTGCCAAATGGGATTATGGGGTACTCATCAGCTCTGCTTTACCAGTTGCCTAGACTGACATTCGGGTGGTATTAGAGCTTTGTGCTGTGCCAGGCACAAAGCCTGGTACTTTGCAGCATAAAAGTTGACCTAATCTTACAAGGCAGTGGTCACTTTGGCATTTTGGTTTTCTCCTTCTGGGATGTAAACAAATTGCACAGCTTAGATGTAAAGATCACAGGCCCACACGTACCTTCGTTATGGTGAACCCAGATAAGCAGCCAGGAATGGATACATGACTGAAAAACTGACCAGTCCAGCTTTGTTGGCACCGTCAAGGTCAACATAGTTCTACTGCCTGTATCCGGGCACTGTGGTGCATAGGGATAATATTTCTTTCCAGGAGGATGTTAGCTTTGAGACAAAGTCCGGAAACATAGTCGTCATCCTGTTTCTGCTAACTTGCTCACATATTCTATGCGGCCTACCCTGGAATGCCAACCTCGTTGGAAGCTGGCGAAGAGTGGTCATTTGACTCAGAGATCTAGGGTCTTGTTGCTAATCAGCAGGCAGCTGAGGCTACCTCCAACAATAAAACGTAAGCTAGTTCACTAGTGAATTTAAAGCTAATAAGCAGTAGCTAGAAAGCTTGGTTGTAAAATGTGTGCTCTCAGTGGGGTGAAGAGGGTAATAATTTAGTAATAAGGATAATGACAGACAGGTATGTGATGCTGACAGGGGGCTCTGGTTTAAGAAATTAAGGAACTTGTTATTTAGGGACAATATTTTGTTTGCAATCATCTTGATTGATGTTTTTCACTGGTTTTTCTGTGAATTCATCTCGATTCATTTTTTCCACACCTGCTTTTTCCATACAGGTAAATGGGACCAATGTTAACCTTCCAGTGAGTCCAGTACCTGGCGTCTCTGTCTTCAAGTCAGGAAAATATTATACCGTGTCCACAACCTTTGGCTTGACTGTTCGCTACGATGGAAACCACTTCATGGACATTAAAGTGATCAAGGAGTAAGTGACAACTTTACGTGATATTCATCAGTGATATATTTTAATCATTTCTATTGTACAGAATCCTACCTGATGTTGGGTTTTTGGCATAAATTAATTGGAAATTGTTTATGGCGCAAACGCCACATTCCTGGATCTCATCAGACATTCTGGCAATTTTTACAACAGTTTACACTTCTATATGATGTTTAAGTAAGTATTTTCTGTTAACTGCAGCTATGAGGATATACTGTGTGGACTGTGTGGAGATTATAACGGAAATACCAAAGATGACTTCCGGAAACCAGATGGAGCCTTGGCAAGCAATCCAAATGAGTTTGGCCACAGCTGGAACACAGATCCAGAGTGAGTATTGAAAAAAATGTAAAGATCCAGGGAATCATGTTTCTGGAAGTAAATTTTCTGTCATTTTCCTTTTAAATCTAACAAACGAAAAAACCTGCAGGGTTTCTCCTTATTTGATTAAACTTATTACACAAACAGTGCTATCCAGTTAAGGTAATTTTATTTATGAAGTTCAATTGGTAAAATGAAGGCTA